CCCTAAACCCTAAACCCTCCTCCCCACAGCCTGGAGGCCAGCCCTGTGACATCGAAGATCTTTGCTGGTCCCTACACAAAGAGGCCTGCCAGCGAGGAGAGCGCTTCTATCTCGACCCCAAAACAGGCGGGCTGGTGGGGTCTAGGACTAGGGTTTCGGGTTTGGGTTTAGGTTTTGCTAGTGAGGTTTAGGGCTAAGGGTGTAGTGGGATGTCCAAACAGGAGGGGGTAGTGCATGTAGCGCACATCGAGGGTGAGTCAGAGTCGATGCTTTTAATAATGTAGTCTTCCGCACAAAGATGGTACGTAGCTGTTTTCACTTCATGTAATCTCAGGCTTAGATATCACACGGCAGCCGGCCACCGAGTTGTTTGGATCTCCTTTTATTGCGTTTTCGGGCTTTAGGGCTGCTACGATCCCATGGTTTCGGGTAGACATGTGGGTAGTTCTCTATATTGGGGTCNNTTTTCGGTCTCCAAAACAGTACGGCACACTTACCAATGGACCCTTAAAGGGCCCCTAATTTAGCGAACCACCCGCGCTGCACATGCACAACAAATCTGCCAGTGTGCTTCTTTGCCCGCCCGTGGATGCTGCACATGACACGGATTACTGTCTTGCCTGACTTCTTACCGCTAGTTAGGAGTCTTAGGACGACATACCAGACTGGAATCGTGAGCTGTAGGCTTACGTAGTCTTAGCTGGGCCCGCAGCAGCAGGCTACCAGGTCATGACGGAAGTGGCGCACAAAAAGCGTGGCAAGTGCTGCGGCTGCGGATGCCGACATTGCCCCTACAACCATGCCAATGTCCCTTCCACGGAGCGCGCAGCCCGCATTCAGCAGCCAGCATGGCTGCACAAGACTTCCATTGAAGCTGAAGAAGTTGATGTCCTATTCTGGAGTGGGGGTAAGGACAGCTATCTTGCTCTTCGAACTCTTCTGAAAGAGAAAGGCGAGGGAAGGAGGGGCGTCGTGCTCATGACCACCTTCGACGCAAGAACGCGCATTATTGCCCACCAAGAAGTAGAGATCAAGACCGTGGTGCGCCAGGCAGAGACTTTGGGTGTGAGCCTTGTGGGAGCCCCCTTGCACCCCGGCCGAAAGTACGAAGAGCAGCTGGAGCAAGCACTTCGTGTGGCACAGAAGGGCCTTTCTGGGATTCCAATCACCCGGGTGTGCTTTGGAGATCTGCATTTAGAGCACATTCGAAGCTGGCGAGAACAGCAGCTCACTCCGGTGGTGCGGGAGGTTTGCGGCCAGGCAGCTCAGCTTCACTATCCTATCTGGCACAAGAGCTACGAGGTCGGCAGGGCATCGAATAGCCCAGCCCAGAAACATGACCCTGAGCCTTCAATGCTGTGGCACATACTTGATAACATACTTCTTTACCATGGTTCCGGAAGCAACCCTTAGCCAAGATGCTAAGCCAAAAGTCCTAAATCCCAAAGCCGAAACCCCTAAACCNNTAAATCCTAAACCCTTCACCCCCTAAGCCCCAAAGCCACGCCATAAAGCGAAGACCCTGAAGCCAAACTCCCCCCCGCCACCCTGAGGATCTCATGGCCGACTTGGTGGCAAGCGGCGTGAAGCTGGGTTCTGTCTAAGGGTTTTTAATTCAATAAGATGCGGTAAGTTTTTTTCACGGAAACCCTATAGTATAGTTTAACTCTAGAGCCCTAGTAAGTATGGGAACTTAAACTAAATTCCGCAACAAGAGCCCAGGAAGTGCCGGATCAGTGCCATGCCGGATGCGGCACCAAGCGAGGCTATCGGGGTTTTGGGATGTCAAATCGGCTCGTTTTGTTTATCGGCTTTGTCGGTTTAGGCTTCTGGGTTTGAGGGTGTGCAGTTACAGCAGATCTGGGCTGAGTCCTCCATGCAAAGCCCTGACCCTTAAAGCTTAAAGGTTGACAGTTCTAGGTTGGGTACTGCCCTCACTTTGCAACAGCTATATATAGTTAATAGTTTCATCATCTGTTCTAGCATATAGCCCTTATTATGACCCCGGATATAGACTGTCACTATAAGCTGGGGGCAGTACCCACGGTCTATGCTATTTGTGCATCGGCTCGGTCGAAGGAACTGCCTTTCAGCTCCGCAACTCACGTGACGGAAGGTAGCTTGTTAGAGCCTCAGTTCTGCAATAGAGCAATATATCAGTGTATATATAGAAATATATGCATATATANNATATATATATATATGCGTACATGGGGGATTACGACTATAGAAGCTTCCGAACGAGGGACAGAGATCACCTGATGGCGAGTGTAGGGTTGCTTATCGAGGAACCTGGGTCTTTTGGGCTAATCAGTATGGTTGGAAGCAGCTCACACGAGGATCCACCGTTCCTGGCAGATGAGTGGTTCTTTGACGGTTACATCGCTCCGACATAGTATTGAATAGTGCCGACACTATTCCAAGTCCCCACAGATGTCACCAGCGATTGAGGGTTTAGGGTGGGAGGACTTTGCCCTAGCACCTCCATAGCCCCAACCGAGGTTGTTTAATACAAACCGAGAGCTTGCTTTCACCAAGCCTGCGCCACGTCTTCAACTTCCCGCGGCCTCCGAAGCACGCAGCAAACCCTCTCTCACTCTCTCGCTCTGTCTCT